TACTTTTCTGCTTCTTTGTTGGTCAAGCTTGATTTCGCAAAATTTATTTATTTCAATTAGCAATGAAATGTGAGGTTAGGGTATACTATGGGGTGGGGGTGGTAGTACTTGCCCCGTCATTTTTCACGGGATATATGCTAGTTACTAAATACATCTGAAACAAATTTTCAGTTTTTCTACGTAAAATGAAGGTAAAGTTTTCAGATCCACTTCTTTTGTCGAGCTTGAAATATTTTTAATGAATTATAAATAAATTAGAAATGAACCGGGCATGGACTCGAGGTCAACGTGCCTACACTGTGAACTTAAGGATTCATGGCTCGCCGTCCGTTGTCACAAAAACGCACTCCGCACTTTGGTACCGTGAGTGCGCTGTGAGAGCGACGGACAGCCCCCAATATTCGACCAGAGAATGATTATTTTGGTTGTTATTACAGGCTATATACATGCTGTGCACATCGCAGGTATCGAAACCCGATTTTTAACGTTATAAGCAGGGCCGGAATAATGCAGGGGTTAAAGCCTCGAGTTCTAGATTTAGAGGGGCCCCCACAAAAAAAAAGGTTATAATTCATTATAAATATATATAAAAAAATATCGTGTGACGTTATAGATTAAGAAAGAGCACGGTTGTTTTACCAGATTATTTTATTAAAGCAGCGACTGCTTGATAAGAAGCAACCTTGCGGTCAAAGGGAACCCTAATTAAAGTATCAATGAAAACTGCAGTTGAAAAGTTGTGTTCCTCTATTATTATTAATATACTGATATTACATTTAAAAAAATATGTATAATATTCAAAATGTATGACTCTGCATGTGAGATATTGTGACCCCTTTTTTTTTCTTTGTTTAGTTCAAAACTTTCTTAATAAACAAGAGATTATGCAACCAAACCAAAAAAAAAAAAAGCAGGGAAACAGCTGAAGTGACACTTCAATAAATGTAGTACCATTTTAATTCGTTCATACCTGCCCCCTAGTGGCACAGCGGTATGTTTGCCGAGTTACAACGCTAGAAACCGGGTTTCGATACCCGTGGTGGGCAGAGCACAGATAGCTCTTGTGTAGCTTTGTGCATAATTAAAAAAAAACGTTCATACCTACTGAATCTTAGTTCTTGTCGCTAGTCGGCGCTTTCGCAGTGAACGCATTTCGCTGGCTGGCGTGTTGTTGATCCGTTTATTCGAAGTGTCGCATATAAGCATACGTGTTTTCACTGAAAATTCTAATCATTACAACTAATTCGGTTGAATTTTTGTATTTATTCGCATTTTGTTTGTCGTGTTATCAAATTATTCCAAGTGGATGTGTTTGTGTGTGAGGGAGGGCTACACGGCTTGTTATGCTCTATAGTAGTTTGAATTGTTAAAAAAACAACTTACTAGGATGTATAAGTACGTTAGCCTTTCAACTCAGGTAGTAGAGTAGTCAGTTATGGTATAGCAGGTCTCGAGTTCAAATCTGAAGAGAGAGAGAATATATATATATATATATACTAACT